AATACCAACCCTGCCAGCACGGCATGCCAAAAAAAAAAATAGATTCCATGCAGATCTAATGTCCCATATGGACAATTGAGCAACAATTTCCCAAATTCTGGACTCCCAATAACCAAGGATATCTATCATACTCGAGCCAAACTTGATGATATGGTGATGAATTCGTTGAAATTCAACTGATATGGCTCAAAACTTCCAAAGAATCTCCGATTTGATGATGTATGAAATGACCAATGATCGAGAATACATTAACACCTAATCCAGTGAACCAAAACCAAAGTGGAGCTGAACATACCCATCTCTAAAACTGATTTACCGATCAACAACTTCCTAATCTAGACTGTAAATAGCAATCCATACAATGAGCTGACAAGTCCCTCAACAACTGATACTCAACCTGAGCGATCCTAGCGCCTACTCATCTATTTATTGGCACCCCAAAAGGAATCAATGGCTACAACGAGCTCTTTAACCAACTACTTCCTACTACATTTCCTGAACACATACATCCGATAGCCACTTGCTCTACACCCCTGACTTGACCAAATCCTAAATCGAAATCCTGCATACCCACACCACATATCCCTATGAACCATTCTTCCGACACCACAAACTCAAACAGGTCAATGATCCTCTAAGTAGAATACCTAGTTCTCCCCTACTTAGGGTTCGAATTACCACCTACTGATTTTGTAACCAAACCATATCTCAAACTGGCTCCACCAGGTACAAACCATCCCTGACTCTTGGAATGTATAACACACATAGGATGATCTTCCAAATAAGGACCAAGCAAACCCTAAGAGATTCTGAATCTCAGATGAAGACCTCAGAAATTTCCAATCATAACCACCTTTAACATTAAGGATTTCATGCAAATGCATAAGCAAAACACTAACTTACTATCCAAAAACATACATGCCTCGCCTGTAATTCCAACCATCAGTTAATTGCAAAAATCGTTCATAAATGCCAAAAGACATCATTCTCATAGTCGGGATACATCAGAGACAACAAAAATTGTTGCTCCTGATTCTCCTGAAACCTTCAGCTAGCACCTGACCTGCCTATATCCCAATAAGTAGACCCTTGGTCTCATCACGAGTCATCCATACCACAACAATCCTCCTACGTATTCTCACGCTGTTATACAACCGCCAAACACCGTAGCCAACTAGCCACATGCTGGGTTTACATCCCAACTCTAAAAGTCAGAAGCCTGGCCACTCCTTCTCCGAACTCAGAAAACTAGAAGGACATAACCCTCTCCATAGATAGTGACATTCCAGTCCATCTGCCAAGCACTCATCCTCCGCCCGAAATTCTCGATCCGCTCCCGACAACCGCCTCATTCTTGAGTCTCGTGGCCCAACTGGAACTACTTGAGCAAGGCTCTAGAGTACTCAAAATCAACTAACTCAATTAGGTATTCACCAATCAAACCAAAACTGACATGGACACTAAAGCACAACAATCACCAAACTCATCCTCAGCCTGAACAACCATAACCAAAAGATTGAAAAATACAAAAACACTGCCACAAGTCATGGTTATCCAACCATGCTATCCACCCTCAACTAGCTCTTTAAAATCCTCGTGACTTCCTTGATTTGAGTATGGATCCTATGCTTCCAATAGTACGGGCCAAATACTACCTTCCACACCTATCTATACTTTTCTCAAGAATCATCCCGAGTCCTCTAAGTTACCTACTCATAATAGTACTTCCAACACCCGCTAAACATCATAGCAACCGCACTAAAGCACTTTGTAGGCTCTCCTAGGATCCACACCTCACCCTACCATCAACTGCCAAACGACCCCCATTGGTGCCAGTTAACTATCGCATGAATACAATCACATGCAACATAACTTAAATAATTTTTGATTGAAAGATTCAACCCTACAACGGTTGGACTCAAACAAGAGCTGCGCCATAGGACCAAATCCTTCACTCAAAAATTATTTAACCCATGCAGCATATAACTTAACGTATTCAGTTAATAGTTAATTCACACCCGAAAGAGTCCTACAACAATAAGCAAGAAAACTCTATAGGAAATAAGGCATCATACAACAGGGCAATTCTATCATGCAATTCCTAAAGACCCCTATCCTACAACTAGCATGTTGTTCTACCATATCATAACAAATAATAGTGTGGGTAACTTAGGGTATACTTTCTTGCTCTGGCTGATTGTGCACATCACATCCTTCCTTGGTTGTTTTTGAAAACCATTGAAAAACTTTTGCAGTTCCCTTGTTTGAGTATGGATTCACACGAATGTTCATCAGATTCTCTCAAACCAAGGCTCTGATACCAACTTATAACACTCTAGAAATCAAATAAATTTAAAATTTTCAAAATCAACCATCAACCAACATTGTTTACAAAAGGAGTCATTGTTTCAAAAACATTATTTCAAAATCAGAGTTTTCCCAAGACCCAGTGCCATAAAACAGGAAGATGTGCACCATCACGTCTTTGCTTTCCCACAATCCTTAGAAGTACCTGAAACAATAAACTAAAATTGTAAGCCAAAGCTTAGTGAGTTCCTCCAAAGTACCAGCACACCATATAGCAAACAAGCATACAAATATGAGCAGCCAACCTGACTGGATCACCTCGTAGGACCAACAGCCTATCTGGACTGCTCTATGAGCCTTCGGCATGATTGGACCGCCTCACACGGCCTACAACCTATCCAGGCCACTCTACAGGCAGTTAGCCCGACTGGACCGCCTCGCAGGGCCTACAGCCTATCCGGTCGTCCCCGTGTGTCTTGGCCTACAACACAAAACAGGACTGCCTCAACCCAACCACAATATGTCAACATATGTAACAAACAAACATAAACACAGAACCAGCAAATACAGATAATTATACAGATCTACCAATCACGCATATGTTAGCATATCACTATCCTATAAATAACATACATAATCCAGTGGACCAGTATTGGTGTCTTCGACCCTCGGTACAGTGAGGAAAACTCACATCTCAGTCTAAACAAATAGTTAAATAAATCTCTGCTCCGAATACCGGCTCTACCTATCACCTATTATTCAAATCATGGCCCAACTTAACTTAATATCAAAATACCCTTTGGTCAAAATTGGTTAAATCCTGGTCAAAGTCCAAAAAGTCAAAAAGTAAATAAGTCAACCGGGTCAACTCAGCTGAGCACGCCTAGTGTACTCAGCTTGTACGCTTAGCTTACACAAGGTCCAAAATCGGGGCTCTCATTGCGTACGTGCGGCGTACGCTCATGTACGCTCAATGTACGTTGGCTGAATGAAATCCATTCGTTTAAGGGCTTATTCCACTAAGTCTTTACGTCCAAATGTAGATCTAGCCCCCAAATATCATCTTAAGTCATAAAGTTTCCAACTTTATGACTTTGCATGGCTAGGAAGTGCTCAAAACTAAAAGCCCTAACTTCTTAACCCATTAAGACGTCACAACTCTTGCATGGAAGGGATAGAAGGGCCAAGATCACATTTTTATGGTTAATAATAGCTCCATAATGGATAAAGTTTCCAAATTTATCTATTAGAATGGTCCCAACAAACATCTAGTCTTTAAGTGTCAAAGGGACCCAAAAGTGCATCTTTTTCAACTTAATCCATTAAGTCTAAGTCTCTAACCTTCAGATCTGAATCAAAATGATGTTTAGATGGATAAAGTTTCAAACTTTATCCATAACAAGGTAACAAACTTTCAAGATCTAAACTTTATGCACTTAAAGTGACCAAAAGCTCATAACACCCAAAACTAGCCAGATCTACCAATTTCATCATCAAGATTCAAACTTTATACCTCTATAAGAAAGATCAAGGTGAACAAAGTCTGGATCTACAAGCGCCAGTGCAACCAACACTTCTTCAATGAGTTCATTGTTCTCCAAGGTGCACCAAGAACACTCCAAAGCACTTAAAAACACCTTCTTTTTGCTCACAGTGCTCAATCTAAGGTTAGGGTATCAAGAGAGGGTGTTGGAGAGGTGGAGGTTGAGAATGGAATGGGTTTAGGGAAGTTAAGGAGCTTAAATAGGGCTCAAACCACGGAAATAGGGTTTGGGCACTGATCACATACACCCTGCGTACTCCTCGTACGCCCAGCGTACTAGAGATGTCATAGTACGCCCAGCGTACTCCCTGTACGCCCTGCGTACGTGGCTAACCCAAAAATCGTCATAAATTTTGTCGAACACACCTAAGTACAAGTTAAGGTTTTGGCTTGTTTTGATCTTATGGTTGCGGGTCGGGTGTGTTCATTTCATCGTAGTTCAAAAAAAAACACACTTGTTTCTTGTTTCTCGAAGGCGGATTATCTTTTGCTCTAATAAATAGAATTGGATTTGTTACAATATCCATTAAAGCAAGTTTTTCAAAATGATATATTTGCCCATTAAAAGTAGGTTGCATAGTGTAAGGAAGTTTATGCCAAGATGGCATGGAGTGGTCCATGTAGACCAATGTCTGGTATCATATGTGTTGGAAAGATGCATCAATTCAAAAGGTTGGAGATTCAAGTCTAGTAGTTTAGAGATTGTGTGATTTAGCTCTTTCAAAAAAAATATTAATTAACATTATGGTTTTATAAAACAATCAATAATGATCTTTTGTTAAAACATATAACAAAATTATTGAAGTATTTTGGTGTTGTATTATGTTTGATATAAAATTTATATGTTAAATAAATAAATAAATATGTGAGACATATTTATAAACTTGCAAAAGGTTTATAGATAATGAATAAGAGGTTTATATATATATATTTTTTAAGTTTACATGTTGCTGACGTGGGACAATGTTATGGATCTCTAAACGAAGTGCAACACTCGAGATATACTATAGAAACAATTATTATTTGCAACCGTAAAAAAATCTCTATAAAACAAAAAGATGTTACATGACTTGATATAATACCCGATTATATTGTAATCAAAATAAACATGAACGTATTTATAAAGGATGAAAAAATATATATAAAAAAGGTACGGTCGCTACCGTCCATGTACTTCAGTGATCTGTGATTTATCCGTTGACTTAGAAACCGACATGCTAGTTGACGAATCTGAGTGTCTTTTAGGAAGATAATGTGCAGTTCTTGTGGGAGTTGGAAGAGCGATGGAATAATTGTTGAGAATGTTTAAAACATAAGCCATTGAAGGCCTTGCATCCACATCTTCTTGCACACATAGCAACGCTATGTTGATGCATCTCATAACTTCATCTTTAGAACAAGTTTCAACCATTGTTGGATCCATAAGCTCCATTGCTCTTCCTTCTATCCAGCTTTTCCAAGCCTTCAAGGAACATAATCATGTATTAAATATGAATATTTTTTATGTATATAATAGGGCAAGGAAGAAGTGTAGGAGTAAAAACTTACAAAATGTGGAAGATCCTCATGATTATCTTCGGTATAAAAGCGTGAACTTCTCTTCCCTGTGATGATCTCAAGAACAACAACGCCAAAAGCAAACACATCCGATTTCGCAGAAAAATGTCCGTGCACTGCATACTCAGGGGACATGTAACCGCTGTAAAAACATTCGACTGACTATCGTTAATCTTAATTACCTAAAATGTTTGATGACACTTCAAAAAAAAAAAGTTTGAAAACTTACTATGTTCCAACAATTCTATTAGTATTTGCTTCAATTTGATCAACTCCAACGATTCTTGCTAGACCAAAATCGGAAATCTTGGGGTTCATATCCATGTCTAGCAAAATATTGCTAACCTTGAGATCACGATGAATGACTTTTAGACGTGAATCTTCATGTAAATAGAGCATTCCTCTTGTAACCCCTAATACTATTTTGTAGCGTTTTGGCCAATCTAATTGCCCATGTCTGTTTGGATCTGTATATTAAAAAAAATACATTAGACACACAAACAAATTTGTACAAAAAAAGTTTTAAAATAAATTGAATTTGGTGGTTTGGCTTACTAAAGAGAAAGTAGTCAAGGCTTTTGTTGGATACGTATTCATAGATGAGTAATTTTTCATCCGCATCAAGGCAAAACCCTAAAAGCCTCACGAGATTTCGATGTTGAAGCTTTGCCATTAAAATGACTTCGTTTATGAATTCTTGTGAACCTTGTCCTGATGATTTTGATAGTCTCTTCACTGCCACCTCCATCCCATTGGCTAGAACACCCTGCATTGCAATATGGACGTGGTTCTATTAATTAAATGACCAATCAAGTGTAACATTTAATCTTTAAGATCCAAATATTATATGTGAAAAAAAAAAAAAAAAAAAAAAGATAATATACCTTATAAACCGGACCAAACCCGCCTTCACCAATTTTTTTTCCATCAAAGAAATTATCCGTGGCTGCTTCAATTGTGGCCAGATCGAATTGTAGAGATCCTAATGTACCCATTTCCATTTCAACTACATTCATATTTAATAAAACAATTAATTATTGAGCATCAATTAGTATATAATATAATAATCAATCACTATGCTTATACCTGACCCAACTTGCGATAAATTGGCACTGTGGTTGTGATTTTCGCTCATAACTAGAGACGAAAATGCTGTAGTCCCACTTTCTTTTTTTGTAGCAGAATCAACAGCAGCATTAATATTATTCTTTGATCTCCTTCTTTTTATGAAAAAATATAATCCGATAATTATGAGCATCCCAGCGAAAACACATGCAACAGGAACGATGATGTAAATACTCTTTGATGACTTTCGTTTTTTTCCTGCATGCATGCAACATCAAACATTACTTATTTTTAAGAACAAAAAAAAAAGCTTTATATATATACGTCCACATCATAATTAATACTCAAATATTTAGGGCGGCTTAATTAATTAACTAATTGTTTACTTTATCATATCTTAATCCTCAGTGTTTCAATGTTTATCTAGAGTCGTTAAAATAAGTATTATTTATAGTTGTTAAAGTATGTTTATTTATAGTTGTTTTCTTTATTATATCTTAATTAATGCTCAGTGTTTCAATGTTGATCTATATATAGTCGATAAAGAATATTTTTGAAAGACTTTGTGAAGTTTGTTTTATTAATAAATATTTCAAATAAGTTTTTTTATAACGCATATGTACATGTGTGTTATTCGCTATATATATAAATTAATTTTCTAAAAAGGTATCAACTCCACCTAATACAACAACATACAAACTACAAAGTAATCACTATCCATTATATAATCGTAATTAATATTTTTGGTCAGATATAAATTAATATCTAATTACAACTTGTGATTAATTCAGTTTTTATAGGTTGCAGTTTGCTATAGCTAGCATCTTCATAGTTCACGCTCTTTTCTTTAGAAAAAAAAATCGTGTAACTTTTTATTGATGAATTTGTATTCTTTATTTATACGGGTAAAAAGATTTACTTTAGACATGATTTGATACAATTTATTTTTATATGTTATCTTCAACTTGATGATTATTTGGTCTTTACAGCAAGGACATGCATTGCTCCAATAGTCCATTTGTGTAATCATTATAGAATATTAGTAAGACAACTTGACAAAATGTTCATTAATTCATTGTCCTAATTATTGTAATTAGTTTCTGTATCAAAAACAAATAATACAGACAAATGTTACATTACTTAGAAATTATAACGTATTAATTAATAGATTGTTATGCAAGAAACTTACTCCCCAATCACTATATATAAATTTTGAACCTATGATTTAAGTTTTTAATTAGAATTTGAATAATCAGTTTCTGGTTTAAGTTAAAAATTTATTTAATTATATTTATACATTTATAATATAAATATATACAATTCAATAATACAGAAAGATTTAAAATGGAATTCTTTAAACACAAAAAATGCGACGCGTACCTGGAACTGCCGGCGAGTTTGTTGTAGACGGCGGCACAGACGGCAGCATGATAGCCGGAGGATTATTATAAAACGACGCATTCGAATACCTAACGAAACAACTCGGATAAAAAACACCGACATCAATGTCGCCGTCGCAGCAGCCTTGAGCCTCCCGGAATACGATCGACAAGCATGAATTGCAGTCAAAAGAAGATAAATCCGGCAAACACTGCACCATAGCGTAAATCTTCGACGAATCTGTCCCAAAACCGACATCTCCGGTGGCGAACTTCCGAAGGGAGTTTCCTCCGGCAGCTTCCACTCGTAATCTTCCTACTAAATCTCTCAACGTCTTTCCAAAAACGTCAATATCCGATGCGTTTACGGAACTTGAGACATCGGCGTTAGGACGCTCCTCGAGAACTGAAGAATAAGTACGATTTGTATAGCGCACAGTACAATTCAAGCTCCAAATGAGGGCTTCTATATTGTTAGTACAGGTCTGTCTTATCAGGAGAACTGTGTTGCTGATACAATCCTTACATGTTTCCGATGTAACATCGCCGCGGCAGAGAGCAACGGCGTTGACGGTATCTGGACTTACGCCGGCGGAGGTATTGTAGAAACCGTAGCGCGTGGAAGCGGCGGAGGGTAGTGAAGCAAGGGCGGTTTTGAGATTTGATTCGTATGTGGAGTTATTCGTAAAATTACCGTTGTCTCTGCATCGGAAAATAGGGAAATCGTTGATTTGGCCGGCGGCGAGATGAAGGAACTGCAGCAACAAAAGTAGAAGAAAATTTTGAATTATGAAATTTGATTCCATTGTAGAATGGAATTCTATTTGTTTTCTTTTTCAAAATTGAACACTTATGTATTTATTCTTTACGAACGTGGTACTCATGTTCTAAAAAAATGGATTTTATTGAATATATAATTTAATATAATAAATGTTAATATACTAGTATCTAAGTCCGTGCTTTGCTGCAGTTTCTTACGTGTGTTTTGCTTGTGAGAGGCACTGTAAGTTACAATTTGTATCTAGTTTTTTGCCCATTGTACGTTGCAGTGGGTCCGATCCATTTTTTAATCGAATTTAGCAATTGTATTGATAAAATGTATGTACCGTTGTTGTATCGGTACCATTGTTATACCAATCTTGAAGCATGTATTGTATAAAAATGGAGTTTTTCAGGATAAAATATGAAAAAAAAAAAATTTAAAGGGCCTTGCAAGTAAAAATAAAAAAGGGTATATATTGTGAGGAAATGATAATGAGTTATGGATTATAAAGGTAAAAAGCCAAGAAAAAAAAGTTACAAATGGCAAGTTAATTGTGTTGTAAGGGTAAAAAGTAAAACAAAAGAAAGAAAAAGGCCTATAGGTTTGGATGGTTTATGAATATAACATAAAAGTGTAAGGGTTGTTTTTGTAATTCGGCGGCTTGTACAATGAGCATTCAAGACAAAACTTAAAAAAATATTTATTTTTTGGGTTTTTAGTCCAAACCATGACTTTTTTTGCATCGTGGTCCTTTTGGACTAGTTTGTATGTGAAAATGGTCCCTCCAAAAATCGAAATGACTAAATTGCCCTCTTGCTATATTTTTTTTATGTTTTTTCTATTTAATTTAATGTTTTATTAATAATAAAATGGGCCCACACCCCACTCTCTCTCTCTCTCTCTCTCTCTCTCTCTCTCTATAAACCTACAAACGAACACTAACGAATTTCAAAAAATCATATTTACAGTTCCAAAGGTTTATAAGCTCTCTCATCATGTTCATCACAAAAGCCAATAAAAGATATGATATTTACATGTTTGTATGAAGAAAGCACTTTGATCTCGTTTAAGAAATGGGTTACTTGATCGTTGGAAACTCAAAAACACCCACACATACACTTTCTGAAAATAAAAAACTCATAACCTCATCCTACTGTCTTCTCCTTCCCCTTAAACATCTTTCTATCTCAGTTAAAGTAAACCACCGTTGATCTCTTTTCATAGTCGTCGGCTTTTGCCACTAACGTCGCCGTTAGACACCTCCATCAATCTCCTTCGCCATCAGACGCCTTAACAGCCGTGACTCCCAATTTCATTTGGGATTTGGTTTAAAATGGGGGAAGAACACACAATACGCTTGATTTACAGTTTCTTCGTGTTTTATTCCCGTGGCTTGAGGATTTTAGATCGGAGGATTTTTTTCAGATTGGGGGAATGGTGGGTTTTTCGATCTTGTTGTAGGTTTGAGACGACACTCTCTAATGGCGGAATGAAGGTAGGAAAAAAGAGCAAATCTATAAAAATGGTGATAGATGGGGGCATAAGCTAGGATCCATGATGGTGATGGCGGTTTGAGTTGCAGGTTTCAACAGAGGAATGAGAGATGGAGTTACAGGTTTCGCACACAATCACCCGCCCTAATCTGATCCTCCTCATGTAACATCCCGAGATATTGCAGGTATTTCCGAATCCACTCTTCTATTATTATTTTGTCATTTTGTAGTCCATGGGGTTAGAAGAGTCGACCCATGAGGAGCCTAAGGGCTAAATTTGCAACTTTGAGAACAAGACTAGTACGCTAAGCGTACATAAGTTACGCTAAGCATACTACGCAAGCCCTAGTACGCTGGGAGTACACTTGTGTACGCTGAGCGTACTCGCGTCAGAAGCAAACCCTAATATTTAGGGTTTGAGTGTTATATACACGTCCTTATGAGCTCATAATCCTCCGTTACCCCAGCCTCCATAGATTTGAGCCGTTTTCCCCAAACCCTAACCTCTTCTTGAGTGTGTGAGCTAAAAGAGTGTGTTTTGAGTAGTTAGAGAAGAAGGTGTTGCATCAAGAAGTTAGAGAAGGAGGACAAGCTTGTAGATCTGAAGTTTCTTTGTGCTCTAGAAGCTCCAGAAGGTAAAAAGCTCCAAACTTTATGCTTGTATGATGTAGATCTTGCCATGCTAGATTTATGGAACCATTTCTTGTCCCAAAAAGTCCCAAGTTGGTGCATGTTATTATTTAAACGAGATAAGTTGTCCTTTCAGACCCTATAAGGGGTCCTAAGTGATAAAAATGATGTCCCAATGGCTGAAAGTGTCCCATGCATGTAGTAGAAAGATCTTAAGGGGTTAAGACCATGTATTAGGAACTTTCTGGACGTCCAAAGTCTTAAAGTTCAAGACTTTATGGTTCTAAGGCACTTTTGGTCGATGGATATGGAGTTTGGACTTAAGTGCTTAAGCCATTAAGCACTTATTAGGGTTTTGGCAAAACCTCGCGTACGCCCCGCGTAATTTCTGTACGCCCAGCGTACTGAGTCAACCACCCCGATGGTTGCCAACGCAAAATGGAAGTACGCCCAGCGTACCAGAGGAGTACGCCATGCATACGCCCTCTGTTGGGCTTTTCACGATTTGGGTTTGGGATTGGCCTCCTTTTTGGGCCAGTTTGACATAGGCCTTGCTGGACTTTCTGAATAATGGGGTTTTGGGCCAATTTTGGATTTGGATCTTAAAATAAGGCCCAATTAAGGAGTTGGGCCCAATTGGGAAAATTAGGCCATAAATAGGCCTTAAGTATATGGACTTCTAGACAGTGGATTTGATAATTGGGCATTGGCCCAAATTAGAGAAAATGCAATATGGACTATGTGGACCTTAAGTCAAGATTGATATCCCATGTGTTGACTTAGTAATTGTTATTTTGGATAGTTCGGGATTTTTGGTGAGACAGCGATCGGAGACTTTTAGTCCAGTACAACACTAATTGCGAGGTGAGTTGTCCTCACTATACTAAGGGGTCTAAGGCACCAAGGCCGGCCCATTGGATTGATATCCTAGTAGTTATTGATATGTTGAGTATGAGTTAGATATGCATGTTAGTTTGATATGCTAGTCTGGTAGATCTGTAGGACTACCTGTGATACTGTATGATTATATGTATGAACATTATCTGTTACACGTCGACATATTATGTGGGTAGGGTTGAGGTTGCACTGCTCCGCACGGTGACCAACAAACCCTGGAGTATGCTAGATATGAGCTGCGGGCCAGGGAGAGCGTGCCAGACTCATACTGAGGACTCCTAAGCATTCCAGATGCAAGCTGAGGCCTAGGGGAGCATACCAGACTCGCACTGAGGGCTAATCATTTTGTTATAGTCCAAGGACTGAGGGAGCAAGCCAAATTTGTGTTGTGGGCCTGTGAGGCAAGCCAGACTCATATTGTGGGCTCAGGAGTAATCCAGTATGTAGAGTTGTGGACCCATTACATGTTGTTATTATGTGTACTATTTGTTATGTATCAGTATTTTGGGGGTACTCACTAAGCTTTGGGCTTACAGTTTCAGTTTTGGTTTCAGGTAATTCGGATGATCGCGGGAAGGCGAAGGCATGATCGTACAGCTCCTCACATTTTATGATTTTGATTTCTGGGATACTCTGACATGAAACTATTTTGAAAACACTTTGTAATAATTAATGGTTTTTAATTGGTTGAAAAAGTTTTAAATTGGCTTGAATTTTATGGATGTTACACCTCAATCTTCCAATACACCTCTTAACTTTCGAAGGACCACCAAAACCCTTTTTACCACTGAGGAAGGAGTATGAGAGGCGATGAAATAGATTATGCGTTCTGAGTTATTGGGTTTGAATTTACGAAACCATGGGTTTGAATTTTTGAAACAATGTGAAGGTTGGAAGCGAGGTAAAATGACTGAAAGATGGAGATGAAGTATATAGATGGAGATTTTTGAAGATGTTCTTAAGGTCAACAGAGAGAGAGGGAGAGATATAGAGAGAGAGAGGGGGGGAGAGAGTGTGTGAGAGAGAGGGTGGGGCTAACTTTATTATTTATTTTCTTTCTCATTTAAATTAAATAGAAAAACATAAAAAATAAATCATAAGGGCATTACAGTCATTTCAATTTACCGAGGGACCAAAATCACAAGCAAACTACCCTCATCATCATCTGCTTTGATTTTAAACCCAGAAACCATTCACCCTTGAAAAGCCCACTAACTCTTTTCTAAATTCGACAAAAGAGGGTAAGATTGTGATCGGTTAGAGCTCGATCGATTCAGAAGAAACAAGAGTGAAGGGACCTACGATTTTTGCTAAATCTGCTTCAGATCTGAGAAAGGGGTGACACATATCTGCCTCTTTTCCGTTCAAACTTCTTATTTTTTTCAAATCTGCTTCAGATCTATTTATCAAGAGGTTCTGGTTTGGTTAGGGTGTGTGTTCATCAGATTTCGTGTGTGTGTTCATCTGATTTCGTGTGTTTGTTCATCAGATTTCGAGTGTGTGTGTGTATGTTCATCTGATTTCGTGTGTGTGCTTGTATGTGTTCATCTGATTTCATGTGTGTGTTCATCAGATTTCATGTGTGTACATATGATCTAATTTTTTGTGTGTATGTGTTCATCAGATTTCGAGTGTGTATGTGTTCATCTGATTTCGTGTGTGTGCTTGTGTGTGTTTATCTGATTTTATATGTATGTGTTCATCAAATTTCGTGTGTGTACATCTGATCTGATTTTTTGTGTGTGTTCATTTGATTTTGTGTGTGTATATGTGTGTACATTTGATCTGATTTTGTCTGTGTTTATGTTCATCATATATGATTTTGTGTGTGTATTCATCAGATAGGGGAGAACTCAAGAACTAACCCAAATTTTGTGTATGATTTTTGTTTTGGGGATGATTTTTTGGCGGAGATTAAGTGGCAGAAAAAGTTCAGGTGGAGATGGAGGTGGAGGTAGCAGATGGTGGTGGTAACGGCGAATTGTGGTGGTGGCGGAAGATGTTCATGGGTGTTCCTTGAATCTATGAATATGTTCATGGGTGTTTAGCAAACTCACACACACACACATAGG